TCGAGGTGAGTCCGACTATATCTAGCCGGTACCGCTCAACCTCTGCCACAAGCTCCGGCTCCTTCCCCGCCAGCGAGGTGACGTTCCATGTCCCAAAAACTAGTTTTCTTGTCCGGGGATTGGACCGCCAAGGCTCCCGCCTTGGTCTGCCACCCGATTCGCATTGCACCGGACCCTTCATGTTCCTCCTGCGGGTGGTGGGTCCACAGTTGGACGAGCCCATGTATCCGGTTCGGGCTGGGCCCGGCCGGGCCCCATGGGCGAAAGCCCGGCCACCAGGCGCTCGCTCACGTGCCCCAACCCCAGGCCTGGCTCCAGGGTGGGACCCCGGTAACCCTCCGGGCCTGGTACTCCGACTCTTCGTTTTAACCGCCATAAAAGATCCTTCGAACCGTTCTTTGTCTCACCCTTCACCTAAGACCAATTTGTCATGGGAGACCCTACCAGGGGCACTGCAGACGCCGAACCAATCCGCCTGTCGATCTCCCGATCCCTCCTACCCTCACTCGTGAACAAGACCCCGAGATACGGGTAAAAACACGTTCGCTGTAAACCTGAGGGCTGCTAGTCCGTTTGATTGATCGCTGCAGTTCATCTCCGTCCTCAGTCTCGATCAATGTTGTTTGAAAAAAACAAAAACAAGTTGACTTCACATCCTTGTCTGTTAGTGCAGCCAGCCACGTAGCAAGTTGTTACCATTTTACTGGGAAACCAACTAAATAAAAGCGCTAAGAGGCTACAAACTGGCTTGTTTTTTTACTAGCTTCAACGGAGTTTCAACAAGTGTAAACGTCTTTTTGCCGTCCATCATGGTAAACGGGGCGGTCCCATGAGTGGGGTGACGTCACGTGCAAAGTGTCAAAAGGACACTAATTGCAGACCAGAACTAACCAATAGCATCAGGCTACCACTTACGGGCTTCAAATTTAAGGAGTACCTCGGCTGATGCAGAGTTGATTAACTTTTCACGGACAAGTATGTCTCTAAAATATAAATATAGGAGAACACAACATGACATGAGAATACAACTCGTAAAACAACATGTTTTAGCTGTTTGTCTGCTACAGAAGCACATTTATAAACAGAAATGTGAAGTCACCATCTTAGAAAAACGGAAGGAGTGTGATATGCTTGTCAGCCACTAGATGGTGCCATCGGATGAGAGAAATACTCTGGAAAGAAGCTTTAAACCAAGTTTCTGGTTCGGCTGCTAGAAAAGCTTAACCGTTTTTATTTGTAGGTGTGAGGATTTATTTTATTCTCCCAGAGGTGGGTGGTAAGAACCGCTGCCCCAGAACAAGCCCTAACATCCAAACGGTTTTCTCCACAAAGTCACATTTTAATCTCTCACAAGTTAAACTTTATTTGATCAGATATCCGAAAATTAATCTAATATTTGCCTTCTGATAACTCCCATCCACCCGACTGGGACATCGGAGATGAGATAAGATGTGTCGCCTCCAGAGTCCGATAGCGTCTGCAAATCTTGTGGCAGCTCATTTGGGCTGAGGCGAGTCAGACCTGGTTTTTACTGGAACACAAACCTGAGCAGAACACCGGTGGTTCTACTGCTGGGAACGTTGCTGCTCTGACCCAGAATGATGCTTCTGTCTGTTCATACAGAGAAAGAGATTCCTGGGAATATTCCTGGAAAATGTAAAGAAGATCAGGAGAACTGAACAGGAAGTGTGTTTTTAATGGTGTACGGAAAGCCAAAGCGTCATAAATAGCCTTTATAAAACTCACGTAAAGGACATAAAACTGATTTTATACGTCGTCTGTCTAATTTTATGACGGAGTTTATTGGGAGGAGTCTGATTCACGAGGATGGTCGTTCTGATGATGTCAGGGTCATTAATGATGTATGCGTCTGCGTCCCTCAGGAGGTTCAGCTCACAAACTAAACTTTGAAGAAAACAGAGAATTGCAACGATGTCTCCATTCAGTCAAATGAGCTTCCTGTTGAATCTGATGTGAAGCCAATCAGAAAGTAAGGTGATGGAAGCTTGCCGCATGCGCCTCTGCCGCCGCCATGTTGAGTTTTGTGTGTAGTTTTTACCGTGAGGCTGCACACAGCAGCACCAGAACCTCAGACAAACCAAGAGGATCATGAAGACATTCCTTCTGTTCTGATGTTCGTGTTGAGCAGAGGGTTAAACTGCCCCCCCCCCCCCCCCCCCCCCACTGACTCTGCAAGATGGTTTGGATTATCCCTCCTCTCAGCTTTGTGTGTGAGTGTGTAGGGAGGGTTTTCACAGATGGTGGAGGAAATTAAAGGATGCGCTGTACGATCCGGATCAGAACTAAACCCTCAAACCCGTCCGTGTGCCCCCCCCCCAGTTAACTTTTATTTGGACTCTGCTCGGTGTCTCCGTCTCTGTTCCAGCAGGACTTTTATTCCCAGGACTAGTTGGTTTTCTGACTTTTCCAGGGAAGCCACTCCATGTTTCCTGTCTCCACTTTATCTTAATGAAGCGTCTCAACAGTGATGTCCCCCAGAGACAACTGACTCCCAAAGTCCTCCAATCCATAAGAGAAGCTGTAAGCCAATTAGAGATAACCATCACAGCACCTAATCGAATCAGAGTCTGTGATTTACAACCCCCCCCCCCCCCCCCCCCCAAACTCCAGCAACCCTTCAGGACAAACCAACACACATGTGGGACCTCCAGCCAGAGCAGAACAAGTCTTCACGTTTCTGAAACAGGAACGTTTAACTGAGCAGAAACTAAAGAGTCTAATTAAATCTTCCGGGTTAAAATATAATGTTAGAAAATGTCTGCAGCCTTCAATGTTTGACTTCCTGTTTGACTTCTCACACCTGTCACCTGTTCCCCTGATTGCTCCCCTAGGTGTTTAAAACCCTGTCTTGTCCCTCAGTGTCTGTTGATCCATTGTCTTTGTCAGCGTTGTTCTGTCCTCCTCTAGTAACTCCAGGTCCTTGCTCATAAATGAGCTTTTGTTTTGTAATTTAGTGTTCCTAGATTTCTGGCTTGGCTTCCTGCCCTTGGAAATGACTCTTCATCCTAATAAAATGATTTTTTCATTTATTCAACCGCTCCTGCCTGAGTTGCCCGAATTTCTGCATTTTGGGTCCAAACCTCCTGCTCTCAACGTGACACAATCTGAAACTAAGAGGTTTTCTCAGACCTGTGAATGTATCAGAACCAGAACCGGACATTGTGTTGCGAGTTGTGGGGCATATGGTGGCAGCAATAATCTGACAGAGCTTCAGTTTAAAGCTGAAACAGATGAAGCTTAAGCTGAAATGAGCAGAAATGTTTGTAAATACAAGAAGTTCACCTAAAGATCAGAAAAACGTCTCCGTGGATTTACTCCAACATGTTAAATACGTCTGGCTCCCAGACGTTAGCATCAACCTGGTGGGAAGGATCCTGTCGCTGGGTGTTCCGACGTGGATCGATGGGGAGGGGGGAAGAGAGAGAGAAGGATGGTGAAACCAGGGAGAAGAATCAGGAAGATTTAACCAAAGGTACCGTTGCCACGGTAACAGTTCTGATGTAAATTTTCTGGGTTCATCTTCACCTCATTTATTTAATCCAGTCTGAGGATCTTCCCTTCATCTGCCATCATCTGGGACATCTGACCAAATGATGAGGATTTTTTCTGTCCAGAAGCTTCCGGTCAGAGCAGTAATTACAGATTCATCTTCACAAAGGAAAACTGGGAAGCAGTTAAGAGTTTTCCCTAAAACGTGTTCAAAGTGAATAATGACGGGAAGAGTCTGAGAGCTGCTCCTGGATCAGCAGGAGGTGGTCTCCACCCAGCGTGAGGTCTAGGATGGGCCTGCAGCCTGAGGGGTGTCCTACTTCTGACTCTCCTCCTCATTCACCATCTTCAGTAGAGCAGGAGGAGAAGTAGTTCTGGATCAGATCCCTATCCAGGGAACCAGGACTGGCTGCTGTCTGAAGGACAGAATCTCTGCTGTCAGTCTGAGCTGAAATAAATCATCAAGGATGCCTCTATCTGTTCTGGTCTGCACCTTCTGGAGGCTCTTTAACCTGAACCAGGGGCTAATCACCAGAATTGTAGGTGATTTAGAGCCGGCTGCCGTCTGGCAGGTGGTGCTGGAGCCCAGGAGAGCTGCTACCGTCACCCCGGTGTGGAACCGAGCATGTCCAACAGCACCAGAAAGGAAATGCTGCTGCTGAGGACCCCCAGGTCACAGCGGTCTGGATAAACGACCTCCAGCAGCTGGAGCAGCGGTCCGGTCCGGTTCCGTCTGGAGGGCAGCTAGCAGCAGCCGGTGCCATCCAGGATCGACCTGACGAAGAGCTGGAGTCCAAGATCCTCTCATCCATCCATCATCATCAGGTCAGAGGTCAAGCATCCTGGGACGACCTCATCATCTCAGAAGCTGCTTCATGAGTTTGGTTTCAGATTTCAGGTGTTTATGTCAGACTGTAAGTGGGCGGGGCTTGACCTTTCACCTGCACACGTCTTAGTCTGCTGACCTGAGCTGTCATTCATAAATCTGTTTCTATAATTAGACATGAGGAGCTGCCTATGTCATCAGCTCCTGTTTGCGTCTGTTTCCTGCAGCTTTGCGGCATTTTGCAGGTAAGGTATGTGTGCGTGTGCATCGGGGGCGTGGAAGTGGAGGGGAGTGTTGCATCCTCCCACGTGACCGTCCTGCTTGTCCTCACCCCTCTCCTCCTCCTCCTCCCACTCAGTCCAGATCTCTTTGTTGTGGTTGCGGCTGCTGCTCTCTGAACGTCCCGAAACGCGTCACAGCCGCGCGGACACGCGGAACCGAAGCGCGTCGGTCGGTGGGCTCTCGGAGCAGGACGAGCTGTTTTGGGGGAGGACTGGAGGAGCAGCAGACACAAGCCGCGGAGGACGGACGGAGGGTGAAGATGTTGGCGCTGCCTCCACCCTGGACCATCCGGACCGCATCCTGAACGCAGAACCCTGCTGCAGCGCTCCGTCCGCTTCCTGCTCTTCCTCTGCGGGACGGATCATCAGGACAGCTGGACTTCTCCCATCCCTTCTCCCGGAATTACACCAGTGTTTGCACGCTTCTGCACCGGCACCGAACTGATTTGCGGGGTTCGGGTCGTCACCACGATGCTGTCGGGCCCTGGAAGGAGCCGGTGGCGTCCGGGCGGGGTGGTCCGGTACCTGGTGCTGTCCGTGCTGCTGTACCTTCCGGAGGCGCGGGCGTCCTACTACCCCCAGAGCGGAGAGTGCAAAGGCAAAGGGAAGGAGTGCGCAGGTAAGCTGAACATCTCCATCACCTCCTCCTCCGGCTCCATGTGAGCCTGTGGGAGCAGGGCGCAGCCGCTGGCGCTGCAGCAGAGCCCCGGTGCCTCCCGGTTCCCCCTGGTCTCAGGCTGCAGCTCCTGTTGGAGTTAACACACCTCTGCAGGTTAGGAGACTTGTTCAGAGACTTATAGACCTCATATGGATGTTTGAGTCCGTGCACCAAACCCACATGTTTGGTTTAACGAGGTGTTTCTATTGTTGCTGCTGCTGTGGTCCAGCTTCTGGGCTCCTGCTGAGGCTCCTGGTGGGTTCATGATCCTCTAGTATCTCTGCTAGGATCAAGAGCTTAGAGGGATCAGTTCATCATCATTAGGGTCTTCATGAGGTTAAAGGCTCGGAGTAATCCAGGCTCTGGTTTCTAATGGAAATGTTTCATTTCAGACTCAGACGTTTTATTACAGAAAATCAATTTGGCTTCAATTACAGCTTTTAGAGGAAAACCAGAAGAGACTTTGTGCAGAAATGCACATTTCTGTGGTTCAGGTGGTAGTTGCTCATGATGGGATGTGATTTTCTCCTACCAGCAAATAGCTGAAGATGCTCCCGACACTGGATCAGAGTTTAGGTCTGCTGGCTGAAATCAGCTCATCTGTCTGCCACCCATGATGTTTGTTTATTTAACCATGAGTGTTTGTATACACAGCTGGCTTCACTCAGCCTGCACTGCTTTTAACTTTAAATCTCTACATTTATTAATGTAACAATGAATAAACATCTGTTTCATCCCCCCCCCCTCCACACACACACACACACACCACCACCCCTGCTTCAAATGAACAATTCCTGTAAAATGTAAACAATGGATCACAAAGTCCAGAAATCTTCATATAAGCTGGATAATAAGACCCACCATCTCCTGGCCTCTGAGCTCCTGATCCCAGCTGTATCAGCAGCAGATCCAGGACTTTTCCAGGTCTAGGGTCATGCTGGGGTCACAAATTTAAACGAGGATTCTATTAAGGTTAAAGTCGTGTGATACAAAGGTCAAAGTTCAGGAGGCCAGCACTTCCCTGACCCTTGGTGGTTTGTTGCGACTCAAACTGGTCCAGTTTTCCGATCCCAGTTTAGTCCTAAACTGTCTGAACTTGGGCTCCGCCCATCTGACAGAAACTAAATTTTAACATGGAAACGTTTCTGGGACTAAACGTGGCCTCCACCAGTCTGACCCTGGTTTAGTTTTACTGGTCTGAGAAAACCAGTCCAGCAGCTTTTCCCGCACAACTGGTTTCCACCTTTTAAATGATCAGTCATGATTTCTATGTTTTCCCTTAAGCTTCCAGAACGAACCACAGCTCCATGTTTCCTGATCCTGATGTCTCTGACCTTACAGACAGAAACTAGAGTTTTCCGTCATATTCTGCTGCTCCTTCATCTAATATTCATGCGTTCATCACACCACTGTTAGTCTCTCTTCTGTTTTATTAAATATTTAAAGCCAAACAACAGTCGTTGTGTAAATGAGCTCCAGCGCCACTCTAGAGGAACTCACCTCCATCCCGGTTTGTTAATAAAAAGCTGAATTATTATCAGATGATCTTCATCTTGGAGCTTTTCTGCAGAAACAAATGAAAACCAGAAGAGACAAAGTCATTCACCATCAGGGACTGAACTGCTTTACTAGACCGTTGATCTGCAGAAACAAACAGAACCACATAATTCTGGATGCTTTGATGTGAGGTGGTGTGTTCACGGTCTGTAGGAAACTACAGACTTTTACTGTAACTGAAGTTGGGAACAGGAGAGATGTGTTTTTGATGTTTGCTGCTGAAAACTTCTTCAGGTTCAGATTTGAGGAAAAATGTGGGAAAAGTGTGATTGGACGTTCTTTAAAAACTCACTTATCTGCAGAAAACCCACCTGTTGAGCAGCTCGACAGACGAGCTCTGACTGTAACACATCATTTACAGCACGGTGCTGGGTAAGCTGGCCAAGATAAAGACTTTAGGAAAAAGAGATCATTTTGTGGCTGAGCACTCATCCCTGAGGAACACCAACGCTCAGACGATCCATCAGTGTGGTAGAGTTATTAAAGGTGAAAATAAATATTCAGTTTTACAAGTAAAATAATTAAAACCAGAGACTTTTATTCTGAAGTTAAAGCTTCATCAGGATTTTCTCCTTTACATTCTGAAAACCGGCAACAAGATCAGCAGCGACCCTAAAACACAGAGCACCTTCTGGGATAATCCACGTGTGTGATTGTAATCATTAATCTGCATTAAGTTTAGAAGGTTCATTCAGAAGCACCAAAGTTAGGGTGTGTTGCTAGTTTGTGATGTCATGGGTTTCTGACAGCCTTTTGCCCTCTGGTGTGAATGAGTGAATGTGTGTGAATGGATACATGACCCAGAAAGGCACTATACAGGTGCGGGTCATTCATCATGTCGGATCTGAAAACGGTTCTACCTCCTCAGTCAGACGGCATCGATGTTCTGTCCTACTCTCCCGTCCACCGCTGACGAAACGCTGAGATAACAGAACAGAGGAGCTGTGCTCTGCAGATGTTTGTGTTCCAGTGGAGATGTGAGGCCAGATGGGTTCTGCTGCCTTCTGCTTGTGAGGATGTGGCTCATCCGAAGCTTCCTGGGTTATAGGAACTAAAGCAGCAGCAGTCGGGTCTTAACGACTGAGAGGTTTGGTTTTCCGTCCAGCAATCTGAGGTTGATGCTACGAATAAACTCGACAGAACCAACTAGCTTATTTAGATTTGCCAGGATGGCTGCACTTCAGTTTCTGGAACAAATCAGATCAGGTTGTCGGAGATTCGAGGAGAGCAGAACAGATCCGGTTGGATCCAGAACCCAAACTGCTGCTGATGGTTCAGAGCAGCTTGTTGTTTTGTTTGTCTGAAGTCAGTCGGGCCTCTGTGCTGAGTCAGCTTCTCCCTCCCTCGCCAAGATAAATGAAATGATGCCGTATAATTTGGTCCTCTGCGAGGCTTTTAAACACCCTCCTCCTGGGAGATCCTGTCAGAGTCCTCCTCCTCGCTTCACGGAGCACGCTCAGCGGCTCACACGTGTTTGCCGGGAACACATACATGACAGATGCACTCTGGGAAAGTGTTACAGGCGTGATTAAATTTTCAGCAGCCGCTCTGACATTAACTGAGCTGCAGATGAATATTGATGTTCTGTCGATGTTGTTTACGGTTTACAGCTGGAGCGTTTAGCTGCTGATGAAATCTGTGGCGCTGCTGCGGGATGGTGGAGCAGGTGGAGGCGGCGCCGCCACGTTTCATCCATAAATCCACGACGCCAGAATAATCACCTGTGTTCACTAATTAAGCGTCATCATGTGAATCTTCTCCAGTCGTTTACCTTCTCCAAAACGTCGCTAACGACGCACACAGGAGCTAAATGTGGCTAATGCTAACAGGAAGTAGAGTCACTGATTACCTCATCAAAGCAGGTTTATAGAAACCTCAGTGTTGTGATGGTTGTGGGTTGTTGAGGTTATTGGAGTCACCTGTGGGTTCTGCACCTGTTCTGCAGGTGAGTCTGATTCTCACCTAAACGTGAACCCATCTGGCATAGAGTTGGCTTCATCCCGGTTCTGGGGTCCACCAGGGCTGTCCTGGTTGGTGGTTTTGGTTTGGGAATGGGGGCTCTCACTGACAAGGTTCTGCTGGAGTCTGGAGACCAGAACCTTCACAGAGGAGGTCCACTGCTGGAATGAGAGGTCCAGGTGTGTTCCTAAGTGGCGTTAGCACCAGGTGGAGCAGGAATCAGGGTGCTGATCCGTCTGAACCTCACCTTCGGCAACAGGAAGTGGATCCTGATTAAAGGAACAGGATCTGAAATGGACTTCCTCTAAGGTGACCACGCTCAACCTGAGAGGTCAGGTGGGGCGCTCCATCAGCCAGGTGAGGTGGTCTGAGCCTCCTGGGAGGAAGCCCCGGGGTGGACCCAGAACCTGGAGAGATGGGGTCTGGGTGGGTGTTTCTCCTGGACCTGGTGCTGCTGCGACCCAACCAGATTTTACTTTAGGTGTAAAACTCAAACTTTGGTGTGAAACAGTTGAAACAAACTTTTGATCCATCACAAGGAAGCAGAAACGAAGAAGCTGCTCCTCCTGGTTTCATCTCCTTTTAGGAAATCAAACATGGGTTTATCTGGGCTCAGCCATGGTTCTGGTTCTGCCTCAGATGGGTTTACATATGGGCGAATTCTCCGTTTACCTGCAGACTGATGACACGTCTGTTGTCTCATAAACACTCAGACAGGAGGCGGTGGGAGTTCCTCAGGATTCGCTGTTTTGGGTTTTCTGCACCTCAGAGAACAGACTGACTCATTTGTTCTGAACGTCCTCGTCACCTTCGTCCAACACGTGGAGCTGCAGGCTGCGTTCTGTCTGAGGCGAAGCTTTCTCACGTACGAACGTCTGAGTTTAACCAGAAACAGAAGAGAACAGGCTTCACCCTAATGTTCATCAGAGGGATTCCTAATTTTCGGATCCTGGGCGGCGCTGACTGCAGCGGTCGGAGAGCTGACAGGCAGAACAAAGTTCTTTGTGTTTTACTGCAGAACCTTTTAGAACTCCGAGCTCAGAAACGTGAATGACTAGAGAGGCGGAGCTATGCATGAAAACATCAGGAACTAAAGTCTTTCTGACACTTTAACCTGGAATAAAAATATTAATCAGACGTAAAGTTAATAGAAAATCATCATCTGTAGTTTATCTGCATCATGTGGAGATAAAGAAGATGTCATAAACTAAATGATCCCTGCTGGCTTTTATTTTGTAACCCAGAATATCTGTTTACCTTTTATCTTTACGGCATCAGACGGAAAACTGAAGAGGAACAGATGGGTTTTAATACAAATGAATAAGTGAGATCTCTTCTTGTGAAGCTGTAAATGAATGCTCCGACTTCCACGGGTTAAGTTTTTATCGCCTCCAGATGCTGAAGCAGCTACTTCACTCATCTGTAATTAACATAAAAACAGTTAA